TTTTTCATTTTGCTCTGTGACTGGTTTAAAGGTAAGTTTGTTATACTACTGGTAGATTTTGCCAGGCTTCTCCCAACAGAGTAGAAGTAATTTGACCTTGTACCTTATCGGTAGTACCACTTACCTTCTGCATTTCCAGTGTTGAAAAGGAACCGGAATTTGGTGACGATTCCTGCCGGTATATTGGTTAAAATACAGAGGCAGGAGTTTGGATGGTTGGATGGGATTCCCTTGGGGTTTTACAGCTTGATAAAGATGCCACTTCCTGTGCATGTCCCGAGAATCATTAATCCTCTTTTACTCTGTTGGGATGAGTCTTTTTTTGTTCCTGTTCAGAGTGGTTACTAACTTAATCTTCTTTCCTCTTGCTGTCATCTGCATTCGTGCTTCCCACCTGTTGTTGGCATGTCCTTTACCTTCTCTTTCCCTGCCGCACCAACCTCCGCTCTGACTCGTCCTTGGCTTGGAAGATGTGGAAGATGTCAAGTTTGTGATCAACTATGACTATCCAAACAGCTCAGAGGATTATGTGCACCGTATTGGCCGAACAGCCCGTAGCACCAACAAGGGCACCGCATACACCTTCTTCACGCCAGGGAACCTAAAGCAGGCCAGAGAGCTGATCAAAGTGCTGGAAGAGGCTAATCAGGCAATCAATCCCAAACTGATGCAGTTGGTGGACCACAGAGGAGGCGGCGGAGGAGGGGGTAAGGGTAAGTCCTGGAGTTTTCCAGGTACTGCCAAGGTATCTTTCTGTGCTTATTGTGCCGTTTTTGGGTTTTGGGGTTTTTTTGAGTATGTTGCTTAATAACAGGGGACAGTGATTAGTAGTTTTTCATAATCTCTCTTAAGTGAGACCACGTGAAGGGTAGGGGTGCTGTCAGGATTGTCCTTTTGCAGCCCAGTATTTCCGTAGATGGTGCTATAAAACTGTCCTTTGTGTTTTGAAGTACACGGTGCATGTTCAGAATTAAGCTGAATTCTGGTCGCTTTTAATACCTTCAAAAGCCTCAGTGTATATTAGGTGTTTGGCTTTTCAGGGGAAGAGATGAGTGAGTTCACACTATTCTGTGGTCTTAGAAACAGGTGTAGTTCATGGCTCTGAAAACTGGGTAGTTGCAAAATATACTAGGATCAGAGCTTCTTGACTACCAGTTTTTATCATTTTGTCCCAAACTGAACTGCATGCTGAAGCTGTTAAAATTACCCGAGAGGTTTCTTAAATAACAAGGTTTTTGTTTTTTAAGTGGGTTTGGAATTGTGCCTAGGATCCCAAAGCTTGTGAGGTAATTGCAATGCCATCAGGTCCACGAAGGAACGTTTGAGAACCGCTGCGTACTAGTAGAGGGTCTGGGGAGGGTGGTCTGAACTTAGCCGCTTGTCTTTTGTGTTTTAACCTGTGGTAAGTCACCTAAACTTTCTTTCCCATTGTTCCTGCATTTTGAAGATTGTGTTTCTTGGTAAATCCTCAAAGGGGAAAAGGACCTAAAATGGTGAGGAGTGGAATGTTCATTCTTCTGAGTATGTCCTATTAAAGAACCAAATTATGGGTATAGTTTCAAAGTAACTGATGTGGAGGCTGGCCTAGCTAAAGATGGAGAAAGAATGCTGAATACTTTGGTACCTCATAGAGTTTTTGCATCTGGTTGTGTTGGGTTGTATATTTGGCATTACTGGCATTAAAAATACCTCGTGTCCTCCCCTCAGGAGGTCGTTCTCGATACCGGACCACGTCTTCAGCCAACAATCCCAATCTGATGTATCAGGATGAGTGTGACCGGAGGCTTCGAGGAGTCAAAGATGGTGGCCGGAGAGACTCTGCCAGCTATCGGGATCGTAGTGAAACCGATAGAGCCGGTTATGCTAACGGCAGTGGCTACGGAAGTCCAAATTCTGCCTTTGGAGCACAAGCAGGCCAATACACCTATGGTCAAGGCACCTATGGGGCAGCTGCCTATGGCACCAGTGGCTATACAGCCCAAGAGTATGGCGCTGGCACTTACGGGGCTAGTAGCACCACCTCAACTGGGAGAAGTTCACAGAGCTCTAGCCAGCAGTTCAGTGGGATAGGCCGGTCTGGGCAGCAGCCACAGCCGCTGATGTCACAACAGTTTGCACAGCCTCCGGGAGCTACCAGTATGATAGGTTACATGGGGCAGACTGCCTACCAGTACCCCCCTCCTCCTCCTCCCCCTCCTCCTTCACGTAAATGAAACCACTCAAGTGGTAGTGACTTGTGCAGACTTACTACATTTAAAGGAACGCTGTCTTTCCTTTTTTTTTTTCCCCCTTCCCCTTTTTTCTTTCTTTTCCTTTTTTAATTTTTTCCCCAACCATTGTGATTTGTCTTTCATGCAGATTAGTTAGAATTCACTGCCAGGTTTCTTCTGTCCACCAAAATGATCCAGTCTGCAGTAACAGATTTTGTAAAAACAATATAGAGAGAGCTGACTGGAAGAGATTTTTTTTTTTTTCCCCAACTTCTTGCATGTTGAGGATACTTGAGCTATTTTTCATCTTAAAAGAAAAAGTAAGGTATTAGGCCCTTTTGTGGGAGCCCATTTTCTTGTCCTGAGTTGGGGGGGTAGGGGGGAGGGTAAAGGGTTGAATTCTGCAGAAGAAGATGGCATCTGTGCTTTAGGTTGCTTTCCTTACTGGGTTAGAAATCCAAGAGGGAATTCCCCGCACATTTTCTGTAATGTTTTTTAATGTTCCTCAGGCCTGATGAGTTAAGACAGTGCTTTCTTCGCCATTGTCATTTCGGCTGATTGCTTGTTAAGCGCATTTGACAGTTTAAAAAAAATTCCTGATTGGTTTTGTCTCCCTCCTATTCTGCCTTGCCCCTTCCCAATTACTGAAAAATAACCATTTTAGTCCAGATAGACATTGAATTTTTGAGTTGAGTGTATCTTTTAAATTAAAAACCCCAAGTGTTTATTGCAATGGTTAAATGTAGCATCTCAGCATCTGGTGGGAGCTGCCTGTCTCTCTTCCCTACATAACCAGGGACCATCTGTGAAATTCATTTTCCGACTAGATAGCCGCTCGGAGCAGAATGAACATAAATGCTCACTGGAAATTCATTAACCAGTTAAGTAACTTAACCAGTTAAGTATGCATTTACCCCGCAGTATAAAAACCACCTTTGATTATAAACAGAATATACTCTGGCAAATTTTCTTTCTAAATTCTTACCTGTAGAGCTAGAATGAAAGCACCTCTTTGCTAGCTGCTCAGCCCTTTTGGCCAAATTATCTTGAATAAAGAACCTTGGGGGTCTGTTAAGAAAGCTCTTAATTCTCTTCATACTCTTCTCTGCAGTGCTTTGTAACAGCTTTTGGATGCAAATTTTCTTCAGCATCCTTTTGCACTCAGCTTTTTACAGGTAGGTAGTGCTTAAGGAAAGTTACAGAGGACTAAAGCCTAAATCCTCACTTTTCTTCCTGAAGGTAGGTGAGTTTGTCCCCTTCATAGTGATATTGTTTTACTGAGACCTCTGTAGCACATGGGCCTAGGAGGAGTTTTCCGCTCTCGTGTTCACTGTAACAGGACAGGGAGATCAGACAGCCCCAGACCCTCTTCCATATCCAGTGTTAGAGTATTAATTCGTTGTGCTCTTACTGGGTGTTCGTGAATAATGTAGTTAAAGGGGGAGCGCTCCACTGCATCCTTCGGCTAAGGCCTGAGGGTGCCTGCTGGTTTATAATATCTAAATACTTGGGTATTTTTTTCTTTGTTTTTCTTTTTAAAATTCTTCAGGGAGAGAGAAGGGATGGTTTCTGAGGGGTTCTGAAAAGTGTGGTTGAATGTGCAACATACAGGTAGGTTGTCCAGCATAAGCTGAAACGTATGCATGTAAGAACTCCGACGTGTTCTCCCCCCCCCATTTTCTTCTTAACTTTACTTCCTTTTCCCCCTTCTTCAATTTGAGGCTGAGGGAGGATGGTAGGCACAGGAAAACTTGACAAAACTGCTCTGTGCTTGTAAAACCAAAGTGCCCCCTCTATCCCTGCCAAAAAGAAAGAAAATCACTGTTTTTTGGTCTAAGCCCTGACCAGTCCGTTATAGATACTTCTTTCTACACCAAAACTGTTTTTAAACAGGTGCCACCACAAGGGGTGTCGTCCTTATCTCTGCAGGTCTTCAAGCATCCCTTTGTGGGAAAGGTCTCTGGGCAAGCATGTGGTACTTGGTCTGCTGCTTGCTTCCCTTTTTCCGCCAGGGATGTTGTGGTCATAAGTCAAAACAGCATATTTCTCAAATCTCAAAAGCTATTGTGGCCTGAGCACAATTGAAATCTAGCAGAGTTTTTCCTATGTAGCTTTAGAGTAACTCTTCTGCTTCTCTGTCACTTATAATTCAGGTTCTGCCTTTGCCTCAGAGCATGAGCAGAAGAGTCCTCATGTGACGCTAGCTCTATTGCAGTCCTGGGTGAAACTATTTAAGCTATGGGGCTGCTGCTCCCCAGTTCCTCCCTAACAATTCATTGTGTGGACTTCTCTCATCTGAAAGGTTGGTGGCTTTTGCTCGGGATCAGTGTGCTCTGTTCACGTTCTTGCTGGTCTCTGAACACATTCCTGTTGCGTTAAGACTTGAACGCTGTGTAGATGCGTGATGTTCAGGCACAGGATGCTAAGAGCTATGTTACTCTTCTTAGTTTGTAAATTGTCCTTTTGATACCATCTTGTTTTCTTTTGTAGGTATAAATAAAACACTGTTGACAATAAGGTGTGAACTTTTTTATTGCTTGAAAATTCCAACTAGAGTCCAGTGGTAGTTGTCTTAAACACTTTTTATTTGCTTCAAGACCAAGTTTGGGGGTGTTGAACTGAGTAACCACCTTAGCACCTCAAAATGTGAAAGGGAGGTGGTCTTAATGGAAGAATCGGAGTCCCAAAGCAGCAAAGCCAGACACCTGGTAGGTAAAAAACTTAGGGCAGTTTTTTTCTTATTGGTAAATAGTTGCCATGGGGAGGGGGCCCCCCCCCCCCCCCCCCGGTTACTGGGATTAAAGTACCAGGTAGAGCTGCCTTGAGCCATAGCAAGACCCTCATCTGCTTTACCGGTGAGGCAGAAAGCAGAGTCTAGCCAGAGTCGGGAAGTTTGGCTTTTACTTGTGGCTTGAAGACAGATGAGAAGTGAAGTAACACTTCACTCCTGTAAGACCAGATCACCTGTGTATTGTTCCCTAAAACTTGATCTGGAAAGTGAAAATCAAACAGCATGTTCCGATACTTGAAGTCTGGTCTTTGGGGGCATCTGCTGTATACACAGGTCTCTCTCCAGATGGGACTGATTGTTCCTAGCATGAGGCTCTCGGGCTAGGACATTTGGGAGCAATAGTTAGAGCCATACGTGGGTTAAGCACCTATGATTTATTAATACCCAGGTGACCTGCGGCCCCATGCTTGTATAATTCACCTAGGTTTTTTATTGCTGCTATAATTTAAGGGACAGATTGGTGAGAACGTCTTCTACATAGAATGATCAGTGCTTTGCGGAAATGCACACTAAGCATTGTTCTCATTTTAATTTTAACATTTGGCCCGAGTCCTGTAATAGTCCAGAACATTTCAGATAGTTTTGTTCAGTGTTCTTATTAAAGCGTAGAACCAACTCTGGGACCCTCAAATTGGCATTGGAAGACTTAACTTCTTTCCTTTAAGGACTAGAAGAAAATGGAGATAAATTAGAATTCATCACACTGATGAAAGACTCCCTTACTAACTGCAGTCTCTAGTTCCCCGTTCCTAATAGGTGTCTGGCTGTTCAAGCCAAGGGGGACACTGCATCCCAGCATAACTGCAGACAGTAAACACCCCCCCCCCATCTTGGTTACTGATCCCACTTTCCCTTAGGCTGTAAACTTGACCTCCCTTTCTGTTCCACATACGTCCGATGCCTCCACTCGAGATCTGCCCACACTCGGGTGACCTGAACAACCGCAGCCGCCCCATCCCTGGTCTCCCTACGTCCTGCCTTTTACTCCGCAGCAGCTGCCGGGCTGGTTCTTCAGCCTTCCAGTGGCTGCACTTGACGATCACAGCGCAAACCCGTAAGCCCTGATTCTGCTTGACCTCTGAGCTCTCCAGCTTGTGACCACACTAGCCTTCTAGTCCTTGTCACACCAACCTGGTACCATCCTTGTGGCTCCTACGTAAGCCCTTCTCTGGAATGTTCCTCCTGTATTTTTTAACCAAGTATTCGGTCGTGTGTCCTCCCACAGTTCCCTTCTCTCTATGCAGCATGCACGGTACATCCAGCATGTGACTACTCTGTGCTCTTTCATGGTACTTGTTTCCTGAAAATGCTCGTTCATCTTCCATCACAGAAAATAAAAGCACCGTGAGGAGCAGAGACTTATGTCTCTACATTCACTTCCAGGTCCCCTCATACTGAATGGGTAGCTCCCTGTGCCTGTGCCAGCAACCCTGCTCCGTTCTGGCACCTACCTTTGGTCACATACAGGTAGAAGAAGTCACAGTAGAAGATGGTCTGTACTACTCCAGACACCACTGCAATCTGGTCGTAGAAGTTCTCCGTCTGGTACCGTCTGATCCAATTGGCCAGGTAGAGCGCCCGGTACAGCCCAAGAAAGAACAGGTAGTGAGTAGTGATGGTCTCAGCCTCTCCGGTTTTACTGATCATGAAGAGCTGGGGCAGGATGGCCACGGATTCCAGGTAGATGGAGAAAGTCCAGAGGATCTGAGCCAAAGAGATAGGTGGCCAGAGGAGGTGGATCAAGACCATGAGGGACCCATTTCTTTAAAAGAATGTAATTACTAAAATAGGAATGTTTACTGGAGTAATCCAGTGAAGCAAAGAGAAAAGTTTCTGAAATAATCAGCGTGTCATTCCACCCCGTCTCTAAATATAAAATATTTCTAAAAGAGGAAAACAAACTTTTTTTTAACATCCCATGAACATTTCTTCAGAACATAGTTTTTAATTGTTGCAGAACCTTATTGTCTAAACTGGTCTTAATTGAAGCCACCGTTTCTCAAACTGTAGTCTGTGAACACTGGCTTGTAGCCCCCCAGATTCTTGGGCTGCAGCCCAGATCAGCCCAGCATGGACTGTGCTCTAGAAGCCACCTGTTGGACAGAAGTTCTCAGCCGTAAGTTGACGCTGTGATGCGTGCTGCTTTGTTGACATAATGACCATCTGGATGTCCCCATTTTCAAAATGACCGATTTTTAAACTTGTAACAATGTAGGAGTCGTCATCCTGGCTGTATCACAAAGCACGCCCAGATGCTACAGAGGGTCGGAGGGAAGGATGTCAGGGAACATACTTACTTTGAACCTTTCGGAATTAATACTCTGGCTCCCTTCCCTTACCTCCAGGGGAGCAACGCTGTAGTTCTCAAGGAAGGAGAGGCCGATGACAGGGACCAGAAGAAGCTCCAGGCGGAATGTGTCATTCTCGCTGTCAAATGTTTCCCGAAATTTCCCATAGATCATGTACACTGTGGTACAGGCACAGAGGAGAAAAACCACCTAACAAGGGAAAGAGACACATGGGAATCAAGTCCTCTTCCAGCCCGTTTGCTGGGCTCCCAAGCCACCCTGAGTTGGGACCTTCCAAATCAAGAGCTAGTGCACTGGCCCAAGGGGGACAAAGCGAAATGAGTGTGCAGCTTCTCCCGAGTCACTGGCCTAGATTCTGAAGCCAATGACCCTTTGGTTAAGTAACTTGATGCTTCTAATGAGGACTGAAGGCACGAACCATGACAACTCGAAGGTGCCCGGGCTTTTCCTTCGTGCAGAGCATTAGGGAGAAGCCCAGCGTTGGTCTCCGTCCAGGGATTTAGCAGTGGCTGGAATTCCAGGGCTCTTAACTGAAATTCCTGGGTGGGCCTCAGTGACTTGTGAGCATTCTTGCACTGGGACTGACAGCCTGAGTCAGCCGATCCTAGCTCCTGCAGAAAAGCTCTCTTTTTCTTATCACAGTAGCTGCCCTCCAGCATGTGATGGTTTTATGGTTTGCCAGAGGGTCGCAAATTTGTGCGTCAGAATCACAAACGGCCGCCTCTTCCCTCCTGCCCCAAGTTCCTACTGATTGCGTGGGTCTAAGTAGGCCTGAGTATCTGCATTTCCAGCAAGTTCCTATGTGATGCTGATGCTGCTGGGTCCAGGAACTCACAGGGCTAGAGAACTCCTATGTGTACTTCAAAACTCAGATTAGTTTCTCACCAGAATGCCAACTATCCTTTGTGTCTCCATAGCCCCGTGGGAACACATTCACTGCCACCTGGAACCACATGTCCTGTAAATGTGTACCAGTCTCTTTCCCCTCTGGGAGATTTCTGTAAAAGGGTCCTGACTTCATGTCCACCTCCGCATCCCCAGCCCCTAACTCAGGGCCCAGCACAAAACATGCCAGAATGAATGAATGAATGAAGTGGCGATCACTTCCTCACTTCATAAATGGAGAAACGCCTCTCTGAGGTTCCTACAATTCATTCATCTGTGCCAAGGGCTGGGTCTGCAGTCCCTCTCAGTGCTGTCCGAATCAGATCCTCGGGTAAAGGAATGAACTAAGTAGGTGGTGGTTGCTATTTCTGTGTTGACTTTACATGAAGACCGTGATTTTAGGACTTAAGACGGAAGGTCACACGTTCAACACTAACAACGTCATAACATCTCTGATACGGAGGGGAAAGAGAACTTGCCTTGGTTAAGTATCTCCTAGGCCATTTACATATACTCTCAGATGAGAGAGTTAAATGTATATTGTAAATGTATATTATGTATACATTTACTATATACAGTAAATGTATATTCACAATAGTCCTGCAACACAGAATTCCCCTCACATTGCCTTTCTTCTTAAAAAATGGAACTATTAGGGCGCCTGGGTGGCTCAGTGGGTTAAAGCCGCTGCCTTCCGCTCAGGTCATGATCCCAGGATCCTGGGATCGAGCCCCGCATCAGGCTCTCTGCTCAGCAGGGAGCCTGCTTCCCTTCCTCTCTCTCTCTGCCTGCCTCTCTGCCTACTTGTGATCTCTGTCTGTCAAATAAATAAAATCTTTAAAAAAAAAAAATGGAACTATTAGATGATGTGCCTAACTAAAAACGACATTTCCCAGCCTCCTCTGCAGATATGGATGGTCACGAATGTGCAGGTGAGTTACTGGCTACAGTTTGGAGAAAGCTCTTTACAAAGGGCTTACCCAGCTGGCAGACACCCTATTGCTTTCTCCACTTCTAACTCCATCCTGCCCAGAATGTGGTGTGATGGTAGGGAGTTCCAGCATCCATTCTGTGACCCTGAGGCAACCTCAAGGGTAGGTTTCACATTTGGACTCTGTATAATTTGCAGGGCCTCTTAACTGAATTTCAAGATGGCAACAGCAAAGCATTACACCCAAGTGTGGGGCTCTTCTGAGCAACTGCATGGGTCGCACATCCGTGAGTCCTGGTCACTGAAAAGCTGCAGCAGAAAGTTAAAAGGAGCTGCCATCCCAGCCCTGGACTGCCTATCTCCAGATTCCATGTTAGGAGGAAGGTAAAAATAAACCTTTATCTTACTAAAATAACTTTTTAAAAGGTATTTATTTTAAAGAGAGCACGAGTGGGAGGGGCAGAGACAGAGGGAGAGAGAATCAAGCAGATTCTGAGCTGAGCACGGAGCCCAACGTGGGGATCGATCTCATACCCCTGAGATCACGACCAGAGCCGAAACCAAGAGCCGGACACTTAACCGACTGTACCACCCAGACACCCCTAAAATAACTTTTGTTTAATAAGTCTCTGTTACCAGCATCCAAGCAGTCACATTCCACTTTACTGACTTTGAAACCTGTGCTCCTTTCACTAATGTATGTTGCCTTCAAGAGTTAGGATGGCTGAAGGGCACCTGGCTGGCTCAGTTAATGGAGCATGTGACCCTTGATCTTGGGTGAAGAGCTTTAAAAAAAAAAAAAGAAAGAAAAAGAGCTAGGATGGCTGATTAAAAGCTCAGAAAATGCCTCACCCCAACAACAACATCTAATGGTTATGGCCCAGAGCCGAAGGACCTCTGAGTGGAACCAAGAGATGCTCGGTTTCTCCCATAAAACAGGGCCATGCTACAAAGCAACAGCGTCCTATCACAAAACGAAGTCCGAACTGTTGACCTGCACCACCTGCCCTCCCCCAGCCCTCTGACAGTAGCCCTCGCCTGCTGGGCTCCCTGCCTGGCCTGGAGTACGCCATGCTTGTTCCCGTCCTCATGGTCTTTGCAACGGCTGTTCCTTCTGCTTGGAATGCTCTTCCTCTGATCATCCCACGGCTGGTTCCTTGTGTCACACAGACCTCGACATTGATGTCACCTCTTCAGAGAGGCCCTGCCTGGTCATACTCCCTGAACAGCTTCCTGTTCATTCTCTATCACATCATCCATTTTTTAAAACTGTTTTTATGGGGCGCCTGGGTGGCTTAGTTGGTTAACCATCTGACTTTTGATTTCAGTTCAGGTCTTGATCTCATGGTCAGGAGTTCAAACCCCAAACTCCACACCGGGCACGGAGCCTACTTAAAATAAGCAAGCAGGGGCGCCTGGGTGGCTCAGTGGGTTAAAGCCTCTGCCTTTGGCTCGGGTCATGATCCCAGGACCCTGGATCTCTGCTGGGATCTCTGACCTCTCTGCTCGGCGGGGAGCCTGCTTCCTCCTCTCTCTCCGCCTGCCTCTCTGCCTACTTGTGATCTCTGTCTTTCAAATAAATAAATAAAATCTTTAAAAAAATAAATAAAACAAGCAAGCAATAAAACTTTTTAATTAAAGGAAACGTCACCCTATTTTAATTATTTGCATAGGCTCATTCCTAATCAAAGGTTTTCTTGCTTATTTTCTTATTTGTCTCCCCACTTAGAATAGAGGTTCCAAGGTGCCTGGGTGGCTCAGTTGATTAAGCAACTGCCTTCAGCTCGGGTCATGATCCTGGAGTCCCAGGATTGAGTCCCACATCGGGCTCCTAGCTCCATGGGGAGTTTACTTCTCCCTCTGACCTTCTCCCTTCTCATGTTCTCTCTCTCTCTCACTCACTCTCTCTCTCTTAAATAAATTAAAAAAAAAAAAAAAAAAAAGGAATAGAGGTTCCATGAGAGCAGGAGCCTCCTATGTCTTCTTCAAGTACCTGGCTCATAGTAGGTGCTCAATAAATAGTTGTCAAATGGATGTTGGATGAATAATCTCTCTGAAAGCTCAGGGTTTGTGTTTGTTGTTGGTTTTTTTGTTTTGTTTTTTGTTTTTTGTTTTTGTTTTTTGCTTACTTTTTAACCATTATAACCAACGCCAACCTTTACTGACTATTTAATATATGATGGCTATTGGGGCACCTAGGTGGCTCAGTGGGTTGTGTCTAACTCATGGTTTTGGCTCAGTTATGATCTTGGGGTCGTGAGACTGAGGTTGAGCCCAATCCTTGCTTCAGGCTCTGCACTCAGTGGGAAGACTGCTTGAGATTCTCTCCCTCTGCCCTTTGCTCCCTGTCCCCCCCGGACCCTGCAGGCTTACATGTTGTGCACGCTGTCTCTAAAAATAAATCTTTTTAAAAATATATATGATGGCTACTGTGTATTTGCAGGTATTACCTCATTTAATTTTCACCACAAGCCCTCTGAGGTGAGGTGAGTACTAGTATTATCTTCACCTTGTAAATGAGGAAAGGGAGGTACATGGAGGCCAGATGCCTTGCCCAAGCCCAGGTCCCATGCAGCTGCTAACACAGGATTCACATCCGGGTTTGCCTGCCTCCACAGCCTGAGTTCCCAAGCGCATGGTCTCAGTTTGTCGGGCTCTGCAGGCCCTGCCACCATGGCCACACCTGCCCCTCACCTTCATGACTGTGTTGTAGATGGAGATGAAGTTGGTGAACAGGTCCAGGTACCTGGTGGTGAAGACAAGGGCAAAAAGGATCTGGCTCTTCCCGGAGATGCCTGTGGGCAAAGGAGGACAGGAGACAATGGGAACACAGACTCCTGGGCCCACCAACACTCAAGAAGTCCAGAGCTTGAGCTGAAAAGGTGTGCAGGGTATCTAGTCCCACTCAAGTGACAACACCCTGTCCCTGCACGGTCCCTCTCTGAGGGTCAGCAACAGCCCTTCCTGCTGGATCCCTTGAGTTCCTCTCATGTGCACAGACACCGAGTTCCCAGGGCCCCAGCACGGGCCTGCCCAGGTTTGGCTCCCGCTTTCAGTGAGGCTGTGGGGTGGCGTGGAGGCTTCTCTTCGCTCTGCCCCCAGAGTTCCACCGACGGTCCCCAAAGCTCTGTCTTTTGCAGAGCAACTCACAGACTTTACAATGTGTCGACTCACAAGGGAGACCAGAGCAGGTGGAGGAAAAAGCAGGCCCCGTGGAGCATTCTGTTTTATTTTACAAATTCTAAAAATTAAAAATGCTTTTTTTTTTTTTTACTTATAAAAGTTCTATTTTTACCCTTCGTAAAACAAAAAAGAGAATACATATAGATATAAATAAGAAAGCAGCAGTCCCCTGAATCCCAAAGACTCAGCGGGCATCCTCCCAGATCTTTGCTTGTGCACACCTACGTGCATACATCGATTTGCCACGACCGGGGTCGTGCTTCTCATGCTATCTCCTCACCTGCTTTGGTCTCTCTTTTTTAACTTTTTATTATTTTGAGCTAATTTTAGATCGGCGGAATTGTAAAGACAGTACCGATCGGTCCCACGCACCCTTCACCCAGCTTCCCCTAACGTTGACATCTTGCTAACCACAGGACATTTGCCAAAAGTAAGACATTCACATGGACATGGCACTGCCGACCAAACTCCAGGCTTTAGTCAGGTTTCTCCCAACTGCCCACTGACATCCCTTTTGTGTCCCACAAACCAGTCCAGGAATCAGCACTACATTTAGCTGTCACGCTCCTGAATCTCCCTGTGGCCACTTCTGCCACATCACGGAGGTGGGTCCAGGGCAAGGGGAGCCCTGCCCTACCGCCCCCCCCCACTTCCTCTCGCCCGACAGATAAGCCCACACCAGTCCGGACACCTCAGCAAACCACTCCCAGCCGTGATGCCTGCGTTTCTGATCCAAAGGTCAACTCTGTCCTCACTCACCCAACCTCCCCAGAGCCAACTGAGGACAGTGTTCAGAACCACGTCCTTCCCATGGCTTCTGCGACCATTCACACCACTGGCTCACCACCCCTGGCCGCTCCTGTCCTCGCCACCTGATCGTTAGAGGGCTACCCCAGCTTCTCCCTGTCCCTGCACCAGGGATGTCCCAACTCTAGACATTCCTCCGAGTTCCAACCTATTGGTGCCAGCCTGACCTACCTCCCCATCATCCCCTCAAGCCCCTCCTCCTCTCTCCCCTCCTTTGAGAATGCCACCATTGTCCCCTCCATGCTCAAGCCAGGAAACCAAGAGCCATCCTAGGGTCCCTCCCCTGTGTTCCTCCCCCTCCGTCTTCCCCAGCTCCACTACCCCCACTTCCATGCCCCCTGCCCACCCAGCACCCTACCTGGTGGTCTCCCTGGTCTCCCCAAGTCCGTCCTTGCTGCCAAACCCCACTCCATTCCACTTACCGACCAATGGCCTATAGGTAAGGAAAACGACTGGGGACTTTGGCACCGAGAAGTGACATTACTTGATTAAGGGTCTGGTTCCTTTATTGGCCTCAGTGGTGCGCTATCTAGTTCCCTGGGGCTGGGACATTTTGGGGAGAGGGGACAGTTTTATTTCTCTTTATTTTTAAAGATTTTTATTTATTAGGGAGAGGGAGAAACAGGCTGCCCACTGAGCAGAGAGCCCGAAGTGGGGCTCCATCCCAGGACCCTGAGATCATGACCCGAGCTGAAGGCAGAGGCTTAACCCACTAAGCCACCCAGGCGCCCCAAGGGGGACAACTTTAAAGACTGAGGATGGATACCGCCAAAGGCCTCAGGTTCTGGAGGGCGCGGGGGGCCCATGTCAGCCTTTCTACCAGCATGGCAGGCCTGAGCCCCACCGTCCTCACTGTGAAACGAGCAGACTCACACAGGTGGAACAGGACTTGGCCAGAACGAGAGTGCCTCCCTGGGGGTCTGGGCCTTGGACTTGTGGCAGTGGGGCTGGCTCGGGGGTAGGGAGCCCACCCCTAGGCATGGGGCGTGGAGTCCAATCCAGGGGGCAACGCTAACCTGAGGCCAGCTCTGGGCTATGCTGCTGCTGCCCCATCCCACAGAGGCCTTGCAGAGAGGTCCTCAGCACCATTTAGGAGGGTCCAGGAGGGGCGACTAGTAGGGGACAATTTGCTACCTGCCCCCACGGCCTTCCCCCACCCCTCCCCTCTCTGCGCCCTTGGCCTGCCAGGTTCCCGGGCTTTGCTCACATTTTCCTCAGTGCTTGGGAGTCCTGGCAATCTTGAGCACCAAGGTTTTCCCACTCCCTGGAACGCAGTGAAAAATTTCCACCAGCGCTAGCCACACACACAGACCCAGGATGTGGGAGCGAACAGGAGCTGGTCCCTGGACAGAGTCCCTGGGGAGGGGGGAGCATGTGAGCACATATGGGACCCATGGAGCCCTCCCTCCACTTCACACATGGGAAACTGAGGTCTGAGGTCACACGGTGCGTCAGTGGCTGAATGAGAACTAAGTCCCAGTGTCCCACCTCTGTGGGGGATGGAAGGGGTGGTCAGTGAGGGTCTCACCAGGCCCGCATCTCGGGGTGGGCAGGGCTAGCACCAGGCACCTCACCTCAGATCCCAACCAGGCCTATGCCCACCCCTCTCCACACGCTCGGCACGCACCGCCCGGCTACCCTTCGCCTTTCCCTGTAGCACTTAGCACGTCTAACACACCGTATCATTTACTTGGCTGCTCTGACCGCTGCTGTTGGCAGTCTCCCACCGCTGGAAAGCCCGCCCCCTGGGGCCTGGGGCCCTGCCCCTGTGGTCCCAGTTCTGTCCAGGGGGCCTAGGGCCGTGCTGGTAGACCGGGGTGGGGAACAGCGCCCCCTCCTGGTCATGGTTGCTCATCCCAGCCAGGGCCCTCTGCGGAAGCGCCGGGACAGGCCCAGCTAGAGTCCTCCCCTCACCGGAGCTGCCTCACTCCCCCGAGTGGGAATCTGAGGGGCCGTGAGGGCCTGTCTCTCCAGAGGCCGAAAACTGGAATGGCCTGCAGGTCCAGAACCACTCCGTCTGCAATGCCTCCCACGCCAGCACCCACCCCTCACCCTCCACAAGCCTCCCGGGCTGGCTGACTCCCCACTGCTCTCTCTGCCTCCTGTCTGGAGGGGCCACACAGCTTCCAGAGGGACCTGCTTCAGGTCCCTTCTGGGCCCCCTCCCCTGCTTCCCAAACTTCCATCACTCCCCAGTCCCAACTCCCTACCCTGAAAGTCAAGGCCCCCCTGCCCCTCATCTCCCTTACAGACGACCCCCAAATCAGGCTGCTCACTCTCCCTGGGACATGCCCTGCCTTCTGCGACCTGTAGGCTTTTGTGCCTCCAGTGCCCTCCGCGCAGCGCACCCTTCCTGGGCGACACCCTGCCCGTCCTCCGGGACCCAACGGATCTGCTCCCTCCACGAAGCCTTTGGGCGCTTCTGCTCTCTGCCTCCTTGGCCCCCTCCTAGCCTGCACAGTCCTCTGTACCCCCTTGCCCCCATGCCAAGCACAGGGTGGGCGCCTCAGGACCGCAGGGGACAAAGATGGCTGCAGCAGCCTCTTAATACACTGAGTCTGTGGGGTCACCACCAGCCCCATCTCGAAACTTCTCCAAACCCCCAGCGGGGCTTCCAGACTGCTGGGCCAGAGGGGGACCTCTCCTGCCATCCCTGGGCTTCTGCTCATGGGCAGCTCCCTGCTCACCAGGGCCAGGCCAGGTGTCCCTCCTGCCACATCACAGCCTCCCGCGGGAAGGGAAGAGGGCCCCAGGAGGGGGCAGGGGAGAGTGGTGGGGAAAGGAAGGAGCAGGCCCCGGGAATTGGAGGCCACTTCCTGTGTGCATTACCTCCCCCACCTCCCGATCCCACCCTGGGCCTAAGACCTCCAGCTCTTCCAGAGTAAAGGGAGCCACTGGCTGGGCGAGAGTGTCTCACCTCCTCCTAATCTCCCTCCTCTTCTCACCAGCAGTGGCAATGCCAAGGCAGGGAAGGTGGGGGTGAGCGGAGGCACAAGCCCAGCCACCGTCCCTATTCTCCGCCAGCCCTTCTTCTTTGATAAGGCACAACTTTAAATTTTCTTTGGAAGCTGAGCTGTGCAAAAACAAGTTTCTCGCACCGCCAAGCCGAAGCCCTAGCGCAGAAGGGAAATTCGGGAGCCCCCCCGGGCCCCGCGCCATCCCAGCCTTGCATGGGCTGCCCGACCCAGGCCCACCTCCGGCCCTCCCACCGCCGCCGGGGGCGACCCTCACCCGCGCAGCTCTTGGACCTCCAGATCTTCCCCAGGAGCAAGATCATGGCCAGGAGGTGGCTCAGGTCGCCGAGGATCCGGAACACGTTCATGGTGCCCCAGGCGTTCCCGCAGCGCGCGCCGCCACCTCCCGGGAAACTTTCTGGCGGGCAAGGCGGCTGCCACGTCCCCGGCCCGGCTCTGGGTCCCGCGTGCCGCTGCCCGCACTCCGAGCCCCGCGCTCCCTGCCCGACGCCCCCTCGGCCAGCGCACACTCCCGGCCGGGCGGTGACGTGGCCCACCGGCCACCGTGCCAGGCGAGCCAGGAAGCGCCGCCGCCCAAGATCCCGCCTCCCGCCGGCCCAGCGCCTCGGGCCCGGGGCGGGGCGGCCGGGGCGAACCGGGGGGCTTCCGGCCGCGGCCTCTGCCACCCCCATCCTCCCGCGGCCCCCGCAGTCTCCCGCGCGCCACGCCCTTGTCGCCCCTCAGTCCCCTCATCTGCACCCCGGGTTAATAAGGCGTGGGCCAGGATGGAGCGGGGGTGTTCAGCGGGCTGGCGCCTGGCAGACGCCTAGGGTGCTGGAAGTACCCCTAAATGTGACCATCAACTTGGGGTTCAACTCCTCCTTGCTGAGAGGCGGATTCGCAGCTCTCTCACCTGTTCACTGGGAGGCCCACCGTGTTCTGCCCTGACCAGCAGGAGTGAAGGCATGGTCGTCAAGTACAGCCTCCCCGCTGTGCGCCTTCCCTTCTTGGCCACAGTTGATTCATCTGTAGAATGAGGTTACTGTACGGAAGATGTCTGTCAGGGAGATCCAGGGCCCCCCTAGTGTTTTCCTTTCCTTGCTACAAGATGATACACAGGAGCACAGACCAGGAGACTCCAGAGGGCTGTGGGCTGTTGGCCACCAAGGTGGGAAGCAGGAAAGGGGAAGGGCAAAGGACCACCGGCAGACAGGAGTCCTCCCAGTGCTGTGTGGCCTGAGCAGGTCTGCCCACCCTCTCTGGGCCTTGGTCTCTGCATCTGTGAGGGCGGACCGCCTAAGCTACGGGCCCTTATTACCACCCTCCTTTCGACCCCACTAGGCCCTTGTCCCACCCAGGCCCTTCATCTCTCCCTAAACACTGGCCTCCTTCCACCCCCATCCCCACCACAGCCAGAGAGGCTTTGCTGTGATGGGATCTGCCACTCCCCGACTCCTCCGAGGTCCTCTGAGACTCAGAGTGTGGTCTGAGGGCCCCGCAGCACCTGCATCCCGGGCTAGGAATGCGGTCTCCAGCCCCAGCTCAGCCTCACTGACTCTGAATCTGCAGGTGAACAGATCACCGGCGCTTCATGGGCACATGGAAGTCCGAGAGGCACTGATCTCAACAATGCTGTGAGGGAGGAGACGCTACTATTCCCATCTGACACTGGGGAAACTGAGGCATGAGAGGTTAAGTCATGCAAACTTTAAGTAGTGGAGCCTAGATTCCAACACACAGTCTGACTCCAGGGTTTATGCAATTTGTGCGTTGTTTTGTGTGTGTGTGTGTGTGTTTAAGACTTTATTTTAGGGGCACCTAGGTGGCTCAGTCCTTAAGGGTCTGCCTTCAGCTCAGGTCATGATCCCAGGGTCCTGGGATCAAGCCCCTCGTTGGGCTCCCTGCTCAGCCGGAAGCCTGCTTCTCCCTCTCCCTCTGCCCCTGCTTGTGTTCCCTCTCTCGCTGTGTCTCTCTCTGTCAAGTAAATAAATAAAATCTTAAAAAAAAAAAAAAAAGATTTTATTTTAAAGTGGACTCGAACTCATGACCCCAAGATTAAGAGCTCCTGTTCCTCTGAACCAGCCAGGCACCCCCAGGGTTTATGCAAATAAATTAATACATTACACTGTGGGTCATCATGGGAGATGATGAGGTCTCTGCCACCAGAGGTAGGTGAGCAGGGGGTGGGTCCCCATTTGTCAAAGATGTCGCAGTGGGGACTCCTGCCCCGGCAGGGACATTGGGATGACAACAGCCATCAAGTAGTTCTCTCCAGGACGCTTTAAGTCCTCATCTCGCAGGTGACAGCTGTGGAGGTCCAGGGAGGGGAGAGGCATGGGCCAAGTTTCTCTGGGAGGAGAAGCACTCATCTTGGCACTCATCTCGGGGCTGTGACAGATTCTGAATGGGCTGCTCTGATCCCTGTTTCCCCCCCATCCCACCCCCCCACCCCCCGCCATCCTGCCCAGATGCCTCTCTTCCAGCGTCGCCCAGAGAAGGCGGTGGCTATTTAAACCCCTCAGGTGCGGCTATGGTTCTCGGCCCTCCCAGCTGGCATCTCCTGCTCAGCGCCTACCTCCTCCCCAAGCCAGGGAAAAGCACGTGCATTTGCCATTTGGTGAAACATCTGTCCTCCTTAGAAGCAATCCCAACTGCCTTGGGGGCTGGAGCAAGGCTAGAATTCTCCTCTTCCCTCTCTCTCTCCAGCCACCGCCACCTGCTGCCCCCTCCCCCCCACCATCCCCCAGGAGAACTGACCGAAGCCAGGGAAGGTCTGAGAACCATGGTGGTGGAGGGGACAGAGCCCAGGCTGTGTGGCCCCAGGGCCAAGAAGGTCTTGTCCTGGGCCTGCCATAGTGTACTTGAGCCTGCCATGTCCTCTCTCTCCTTTGGCCTCAGCTTTCCCATCTGTGAATGGGGATAAGGAAGGGGAAAGTATTGCCAACTGGTGACCGGTCCTCTTTGCATCTAGTCTTTCCAGTCTCTCCAGGAAACCAATATTCCCTATGCCTCAAGACAGGGAGCTCATCACCCCCATTTAAAAGATTTTTTATTTATTTATTTATTTATTTATTTATTTTAGAGAGAGACAGCCCACAAGCAGTCGTGGCGGGGGGTGGCAGAGGAAGAGGGAGAGAAAATCTTAAGCAGACCCCACACTGAACACAGACCCCGACTTGGAACTCGATCTCATAATCCTGAGACCATGACCTGAGGCAAAATCAAGAGTTGGCCACTTAACCGACTGAACCACCTGGGCACCCCATCATCACACCAATTTTACAGATGAGGAAACTGAGGCTCAAACTTGTCTCTTGCTCCCCCAGGTCACATAGACCCCTCTCCCGAAAGTTCTACCACTCTGTTCTTAGTAATGAGCCCTGCCTATGGAGAAGAAGGAAAACCATGAGTTCATTTAAAATGCTCGGCCCTCACCCATGCCAGCACTTTGGCCACTGGCACCATCAGACACTATCTGTCCCTGATGCTGGGTGGTTCTGGGCGCATTCCTCATTCCCGCATGCCTTACTTTCCTGACACCCCAAATGTGTCTGCTGTAGGAATGTAGTTGGGGGGGAAGCCAAGAGGGAAATTTCCTTCAGCTCAAAGAGGGCAAAGGTTCTTTTTTCCTCATTAACAAAGTGAATTGTAAATTCTAAGTCAAAGGAGAGAGAATGGGGGAGTAACTCAATTATAGGGGGAAATGTGTGTAATAATCTCTTCTCCTTCCTGGTCCTACCCCTTTGTTATACTTCACCGCCCTACCGAATAGCCTGCCAGCTGTCTCAGATTCTGTGTGGAAGGAGGATGTGGATGTAGAGTGAAAACCACTATCCTGAGAATACTCCCCCACCTCACTGGCTGCCTTTCACTGGGCAGGGCTGTGGAAAAAATGGGGAGCTCTGGGCCCCAGCTCCTGGGACTCCCTGCAGGTCACTAGGGGCCGCTGTGGCTTCCTCCAGCACACGCGAGTGGATGCTCGCCTGTGGAAAGAAAGAACTCTTCCCAGGCAGCCCCAGGATGTCCCACTCCCGAGGTTCGGTCAAGTCCATTCCCTAATCTAGCCTGAGGGCAGCCTTTCTCTTCATGTGCTTCTGCCCCAGGTGTTTGGGAAGCACCCCAGTCCCCAATATCTTTTGAGTGACATGTTGCAGGGCAAGGGCAGTCCAATTTTTGCACAGCTGGGAACCAACGTTCCAAAACCTCTACTCCACTTTTAGTTCCGACCACATTTGCAGAAGACCAGCTGTGTGCTGCTGCCTTACAGGCTGAACCTAGAGGAAGCTTCAAGGAGCCCTTAGGGCACTGTGGGAGGAGGAAGGTGGTGTCTGTGCCTGCGTTAAATATGGCACAGATGGAGAGTAATTACCCTTGGTTGGCAGAGAGTCGAGAAGAGGACTGCAGTTAGGAAGGCTTCAAACAATGCCCCAGTGGGTTTTGCAGAATGAGTAGGAGCTTGCCTGAAGGACAAAACCTGGGAGAGGAGAGTAGGAGTCCCAAATAGGAGCAACTATGTGTACTAAGGCACAGAAATATGATACAACCCACTGTCCCAGCACATATTATTTGTACAGCTCTTTAAAAGGGGCCAATAGGGGCGCTTGGGTGGCTCAGTAGGTTAAAGCCTCTGCATTCAGCTTGGGTCATGATCCCAGGGTCCTGGGATGAGCCCTGGGCTCTCTGCTCAGCGGGAAGCCTGCGTCTTCCTCTCTCTCTGCCTGCCTCTCTGCCTACTTGTGATCTCTGTCTGTCAAATAAATAAATAAAATCATAAAAAAAATAAAATAAAAGGGACCAATAAACAGGAAGAAGAGAGGGGAGCGGGGAAGGATGAACGTCAAGGTTAGACAGATCTTTGTCCAAGTCTCAAGTTTCACTACTTACTGAGGAGCTGTCAGAATTCGGGCAATTCGTTTCACCTTTTCAAGTCATACTGTTCTCGTGGGTAACCTGTGTATAAACCAAGTACTGATTTCATAGGTTAGTTATCAGAGTCGAAGTTAGCTAGGTACCTAAAACGGTTTGCAAGAAGTAAACCACTCGGCAAACGCCAGTCCCTTGCTCCCTTTTAAGGGACAACAAGGCCCAGAGAGGGTCCCCAAAGCAGAGCCAAGAGAAAACAAAATTCTGTGTTCTCAGAAGGCGATCACTCCCTCTCCGGTTTATTCCAGAAGTGCAAAAAAAGACAATTAAAAATAACGTCTGAGCCCGAGGATGCCTTCTGGAGTGTTCGTTAGAAGTGTTCTGTGTCTTGCTCCAGTGGTGATTACCCGGGTTTTATGCATATGTAAAAATCCAGCGGGCTGTACTCTGATGTATGACAGTTTGTAAGTTACACCTCAATTAAAAGAAAAACATAACAGATCTTGCGACGCGGCCCCCTTCGCCGCAGGCGACAGGTGTATTCCTGAGACACCCAAGACCACTCTCTGGAGCGCGGGGCAGGCCCAGCGCCCTGAGCTCCGAGTCGTGCGCCGCACGCCTGGGCCGCCGGGAGGTTCCCAAGGCAACCGCAAGCCGCTCACCTCGTCTCCCGAGTGACGAGGCGTCAGCGAAGA